GGTGAAAGTTTACAGAGCAAATTCATTTTCTGTACAGCAGATCACATACACTTTGTTTCATGACATTGACTGAAATTTCCCACAATGCGACAGCTTTCCTTCCACCTCCTCTCCATAGTTAGCTCTTCCCTGTGTCCTTCCCAAACATGCGCTCCTTCCCCCCAAGCTGTCTCCCTGTGCATACACTGCCCTTCTATTTTCCCATGATTGATCTCTCCAAGGAGTGTGTCTACCTAATGTAAATGTTCAGCTCACATGCCTGTCCTTTGGCTGGAAGCCAGAAGAGTGGCTTCAGTTCCTGACCTGAAGGGCAACTAGAGGCTCTAGTCTCAGGGGTTCCAGCAGGCTCTATCAGACCAGCAAATCTGGTTGCCTTTTTTTTTAAAGTGACATTTTCCTTGACTTGGCATTTGCTTAGTTGCTGCATCCTTTCAACTGTTTTTGAGTTCTTTCCAAGTTGAATCTATCAATATCTGGTGATTTTCCTTGGCGATTCTGTAGGGAGGGGGCAGGAAGTGGAATTGCTTGTGTCATCATCTTCCAGGGAATCCACAACTCTTACTTCAACTTGAATTCTACCCACTGAATTAGGCAAGATAGGAAATAAAATAATATCCAGAATAAAGTTGGACCTAGAATAGCTAAAATAATGTTCAGAATAAAGTAGGATGACTCACCCTGCTTGCTGGTGAATGCCATCAAGTCTACTTTTATAGTGGCCACATGTTGCAGACTAGGACTTCCCTGTAGGATTTTCTAGGCTGTTATCTTTATGGGAGCAGATTGCCAGGTCTTTCTCCCATGTGCTGCTGGGTGGCTTTCAGTAGCAGCTGAGTGCTTAACCATTGGACCACCTAGGTTCCTTTACCTGATGTTAAGGGTTACTATAAAACTACAATAGACAAAGCAGTGTGGTATTGGTGGGGATAGCCATATAGATCAGTGGAAGAGAAGAGAGAACCCAGAAATGATAGGTGCTGTTCTAGTTACCTGGTACCGCTCTGACAAGAAAATACCACAAATGGAATGGCTGGAACAAGAAGGAGTTTATTCTCTTACAGTTTGGAGGCTTTAAGTCTGAGTTAAAAGTGCCAGGTTTAGGGGCTGGGTGAAAGCCCCTCGACCTTGGGCTTCAGTTCTGCCTCTTGCTCCTGGCCTGCAGAAGCTAGAGGGATCTCTTCACTCAGGCAGCTACTGGCTGCTTAGGCTAACAACCCCAAGGCCAACAAATAAAATGGCACAGTCCTGATGTTACCAAGCCCCATGGCAGGCCATTAATTCAATTCCATTGAAATTCCCAAGGTCAGAAGAGCATGGCAGCTGCTGAACAATGACACAGCTACATGCAGGGTTCAAGCGTACCAAACGCTAAAGACCATTCCCCAAGGCTGCGGCTTATCTACAGGAAGCAGATCACATCCCTAAGGCAGTTACTCAGCTTCTCACAGTAGATGCAACCATGGAGTTGATTACCAGTCTTATCATGGGGAATACTACATCCAGCTGCCCAGCCACTCAACCAGGCCCAGCCAAGTTGGCTCACAAACTTAACCACCACAAATGCCATCAAGTCAGTTCCAACTCAATGACCCCATTGCACAACAGAATGAAACACTGCCTGGTCCTGTGCCAGCTTCATAATCATTGCTATGCTTAAGCTCATTGTTGCAGTCATTGTGTCAATCCATCTGGTTGATGGTGGACCCACAGGAATATGACCGTGTGATTTTTACCAAATTAACAAAAGTAATTAAATGAAGGCAGGGTAGTTTTTTCTGTAATTAATGTAGGAGCAATTACATATCCAAAAGCAAAACATATGACTCTTGACTTAACCTCATACCTAATACAGTTTAACTAAAAAAATAGATCATGGATTGAAATATAAAGAGTAAAATAGGAAAAAATTATCAGAATAAAGGTCTAGGTTCTTACATGAGCCCCGAATCACAATATGTAAAAGGGAAAAATGATGAATTTTAAGTTTTTAAAAACTTGCTCTGTGAAAGAATTTTGAAATGAATGAAAATGAGAATTCACCATATCAAGATTTGTAAGGAGTAGCTAAATCAGTATGTACATATTTATAGTATTAAACACATGTGAGAAAAAAAGAAAAAAATATCCAATGGTGCCCCCTCCCCAGTTTCTGCATTTAAAAAACTAGAAAAAGATAAATGGAAAGAAAATGAAATGGTAAGATAAAAGGAAATCAATGAAATAAAATGCAGAGAAAATCAGTGAGGCCAAAGCCTTAAAATCAATAAAATTTATAAACCTCTATCCAAGGCTCATAGTGCCTAAGGCATTTTAATGCTAACCAGAAGGCTGGCAGTTCAAACCCACCAGCCATTCCCTGGAAGGAAGTTTGGGCAATCTACTTCCATAGTGATACCGCCTCATAAACCCAAGGAGGGGTTGCTATGAGTTGGATCCGACTCGACAGCAGTGAGTTTGGGTTTTTTT